TAAGTGCGATGCTGAATCTGTATCAGAATTAGAGGATTCGTGCATCTGTATGTGTTCAGATTTTGCTTAGTTATGACTAAATAAAGAACTGCTATTTTTAACACTGTAATCAAGCAAGGATGGTTTTTATGCTCTTAACTTGTCACATCGACTTAATTCAGCTGTAGGTTGTGCTTGTGAGGAGGCCAAATGAACACACCACCTTTCACAAAAGTCTCTGGTGCTGGGCCTGAAACGCCTTCTTCCCTAATCACTGTAATGCATGAAAAGACCACAGCAGTAAAGGGAACTTAAGTCTGAGCAAGAAAGGGAGGTAGTCACAGAGCCAAGTGGGTGAGTAGGTGTGAGGGAAGGCGGCATGTGGGTATCGCCTGATTCTGTGTGGCTGTCAATTCTGTCCTTTTTAAACCCTCGACTCACTCAACAGGAATTATGCAAATATGGTTCATGATGATGTCATTTGGTGAAAGGAAAGCTCAGATTGTCAGCAAGGTGATCCAAGAAATTTAGAGTCAGTAGAGTCTGTGAGAGGGAGAAAAGGCTGGCTGGATTGGATTTTAGTTTTTTTAACGAGAAATGTAATGCAACACTTTTTTTTAGTAATCATGATTTGGGCTGCATGATATTGGAAAAAATAAATCTCAGTATGATCTTTTCTAATCCTGCAATTTATATTGCAATATTAAAAATACAGAAATTTTCAACAGATGTTTATGTTTATTTATTTGGCAGACGCTTTTATCCAAAGCGACGTACAATTTTTAACTTGTAGGGCATGTTGTGATCTGTAGGGGAAACCGGAGTACCCGGAGGAAACTCACGCATGCATGGGGAGAACATGCAACTCCACGCAGAAAGGCCACAGCCGAGTTTCGAACCTGCAACCTTCTTGCTGCTAGGCAACAGTGCTAACAACTGCGCCACCATGCAGCCCAACATGACTTGAATAGTTCTTTAAATTGTGCTGCACTTTGGTAATCTGTTTGACATTTGGGGTTTTATGTCCTACTGGAGGTAAATGGTATTCATCTGGGTCAAATCAGCAGCAGGTTTTTTTGCAACATAATGCGATCCTACTGGAGACACTGTTAAAAGCTTTCGTCAAACCTCTCAGAAATGCAAAAACTATGTCTAACTAGAGGCTGGTTTAAACTTCTCCCAGCAGCTAAGGTGGTACACACGTGCTGATGAAACATTTTCATGTCAGACCTTTACTGCCTGGGCAGTGTTGCAAAGCAATTCCTCGCCATGACAACAGAGGGCATAGTGCTTTTCTGTGGTATTATTCCACTCATGTATTCAGTCTATGATAGTATATTTACCTATGTGTTGATATATTTCAGAAACTTCCTAACATGGACAAATTTTTCCTTCATTCCCCTCGAGCTCTTCATGCGGTCACCACCTCTAAACCATGCTCTTAACCCGTATTTTTCATCATTTCCGCCCACAAATAAAACATTTGCTCCATATTTTGTACTCCTTCAGTCACGGGTGAATAAACGTTCATATTTTACGTGATGCTTTCTTCAATCTTTTCCGCGTCTGCCGCCAAATATCTTTTTATGTTTGTGTTTATGTATTTAGCAGACGCTTTTGTCCAAAGCGACTTACAAGTGATAGTCGGCATGTTGCCCTTGAGGCTAACAACAACAACCAATTTCCAGTCAGTCGTAGGTGGCAGTGAGGCAGCATGATGAATCATGGAGAGGAGGGAACAAAGAGTGGACAGTAGAGAGGGGGACGGGTGCAGGGAGGGTGCTAGTTTAGAAGATGCTCTCTGAAGAGCAGGGTCTTCAGGAGTTTCTTGAAAGTCGAAAAGGATGCCCCTGTTCTTGTAGTGCTTGGTAGGCCATTCCACATTTGTGGAACGATATCTATTTATTAAATTTTTTGACGAGGTAATGGCGGTGCTGTTGACAAATTTACAGGAAGCAGCATCCTGACCAATCACAAGCTTGCGATCTCCGTCACTGTCGATGGATGTTTAAAATTTTGGGCATGTCTCCGTCACCCTCTGTGAACCTGTCGGAGTGCCCTTGCGCCAACACATAATGACGTTGCGTGTCTCTGCACCGATGTAGACGTATAAATCAGGCTTAAGCCTATTTCACACTGAATGCTGTGCGGCAGCGTTCCTGCACAGCTTCTGAATGGACTGCCATTCACACTGACTGCAGTTTGTGTTCTGAAAGTCTCCAGATATCTGTTCCCACAAGAGTGCCACATGATTAGGAATTCAACAAACTATATTTTAAAATATACCTGTAAAAATAACATTGATGCATACCCGTCATTAATAATAAAACAAAAGCCGACAGAACATGGGTTTTGTTTATTGAAATAATCCGAATGTGCCTTGCTGATACACATCTCACTTCCTTTCTGTCTCAGAGAATTTCTTTAACCTCATGACGATCCTATCAGGGTTGATCCTGAAACACGAGATAATCAGCTGGAATGAATGTAGCATGTCATTGAGACCCAAACACAGAGATACGAACGTTGGTAAAAACACGGACACGCCATTGATCTAGGAACACCCGTTTGTATCTGGAGTGGGAACGAGAGCTCATGGGTGTTACAGGAAAAGTAAGGAACTGGCTTATTGGATACACTGCTGATAATTCAGATGAGCTGTGAAGCTCTGAGCTCTATAACATGGATTAGGAATCGACTGAGCTTGGGAAGAGTGCCATGACTTCCATATATAGACTTTATGTGGTGATGTAGTTCTACGTCGTCCGTCGGGTGGAATGCTGGGAGATGGAGTTCCTGACAGATCCGCATGCGGTGTCTGCAAAAAATAGAGCCCATGTGGAAACTGGAGCTTTGCATCCGGATCCATAGCTGCACTGCAACCAATGTGAATCTTCTGATTGGACTAAATGATTTTTGCAAAAGCCTCACAGAAAGCGGACTGCATGCGTTTTGCATTCTGTGTGAAACATACTTTATTCTCACATGTAGCTGAAACCAGTTGCGTTGCAGCATAATGGTGATTGACACATCAAATAGCCAATGAAAATAGAAAAACGTTAAATCACATGTTTATCAATAAATCCAACCCCTAATGGTCCTCTTCCACAAACCGATTGCGAGCGACTTAGAATAGTGGATCACTTTGTGTCAGGTACACGTAACATTAGATGAGAACATGAGTTCATTTTGCTCTGACATCAAACAGGACCTATGATGGGACTGTCGCGCACACGTACATTTTTATGTTGATGCTAAAACGTCACATCGTGCCGCTCTAATCAAGATATTTTCTAGCTACAGATTAGGAGCAATGAAAGCCCCTGGTGTATTAAAACATTTTCCTTCTTCAAAATGACTTTTTATGCAAGTTTATGTGTTTAAAAATGTTTTTTCTCTCTTTTAAACACAACATTTCTGTATATTATTTATATGTACCCATAAAGGGAAAGAATAATCTATTTTTCCTGATATCTTTGGAAACTGTGGTTTCCTATGATTGTACAGACTCTGTCTATGCTTTCACAAACACATCTGTCTGCTGGTGGGGTCTGAATTACAACAGTGACCATCAATTATTCATATCCAAACCAGTGTGTGTGACAAAACACATGCTGGCAATGAATATTTAACTCTTGCTCTTGAGCAGACCTTTTTCTCTCTCTAGAGACATCTAAGGAATGAAAAGGAATTTTACCAAACCACTTTTACATATTAGACGGAAAGTAAAGAAATTAAAATTCTCGTCCGAGGAGATATTTCATCATCCTTCCATAATAGTGAACGTTGGTGGTAACCGACAACTTAATCCGATTTCCTTTTGCAAAAGGCAATGGCTCAGAACAGTATCACATTATTATTACAGGAGAAGCAGCTTTGCTAGTTAAACCTTCTTCCCTGATTTCCTCGACTTCCTCCGTCCCCAGAGATAGTCCACACAGATGCAGAACAACTGTCTCCTGCAGGACTGCTCCGATAAGCACAAGTGAATTCTCTTCGATGTGCCTTTGTTCACCTGTGCTCGTTAAAACAGTGCTCAGATCAGTCATCGTGTAACAAAAGATCCAGGCTATGCATGTTTTTAAAGCACAAATACATATATATTTACCTTGTCCCTAGCGTAAACAGGATTTAGTTCCAACTCTTGTGTCGGTGCTTGTAATATTTGGAAGTCTGACAAAAATAATATACAATATTGTTAAAGTTATTCATCATTCTCCCTGAGGGGCTCTCATTTGTTTATTTGTTTGATCTTCCAGCAGAATAGAACTGCTGAGTTTGGATGTTGTGATGTGTGTGATTCATGTCTGTTCTCTGCTTACATTTTTATTTTTTCCCCTAATGGCGGCTCTAAAGCCATCCTTTGAGTCATGCACGCTGGATGTGACACTGATTGAGGGACAACTGTCACAATCTCCGCAATTAATTCACTGAGAACACATCCTTTGCATATTGAAAACCTTGTGACTCATTACTGCTTGAAAAGAGTGCAGGCTTAATTTTAAGGCCTTGTGTGAGTGCATCATTTAATTTGTTATTTCAAAGCAGCACAGTATGGACATATTAGAAAATAACAAGGCCCCCCCCCCCAAAAAAAAAGATCTCTTGTTTTAATGCTTCCAGTCTATGTTGCTGTGAAACCATGCTTACAGCTGCAGACACGGAATTGAAGTAGTTGATACGTGTAAAACTACAGGTTTTAGAGGCAAGAGTGATGAGGACAGCTTACGTGTGGAAACCTACACCTTAAACTTTCAATGACTGCTGCTTAATAACCAGCCTCAGATCAGAAATGTAAGTTTGTGGTGGTGAACCAGTTAAAGCTTTAAAACTCGATTGTCATTTTACAAACTGAACTTTATTATTAAAGTGAAGAAGACATAAAAATAAAATGAGTGTGTCATTTATTTTTTTCATCCAGCAAATCACACTTGGCCCTGATAACTAAAGAAGCTGTTATTTTTTGTTGTTGTTTTTAAGTCAAATGTTAATTATTTTTGTATTTTCTTCTGTTGTGAAAGGTAAATCAGAGAGGGCTCCATTTCTTGGTTTTGGAAGGGATACTGGAGCTTCTGGTTGTCCGGTGAGTTTCTCATCAGTGTTTAATCTTCTTGCTCTTAGCAGAACATAATAAGGCTTTTCTGTAAAGTATGTTTTAACAAGTGTTTCAATAAACAGCAGCAATTGGTGAAATCAGATACATTTCTGGTCCTGCAGCTAAATACTCAAGTGTTTCTTTTAAAAGATGCATTATGCATTAAAGGGCAAACACTTTTCTGCTAGTTCCACTCACATTTCAGTTTAGATTTTTTACAAATTAACAAGGAAACAAACCTTTTAAACTGATGACAGAATCACAGATTGCATGTTACCAAGAATATAGAGTGTTACATATCAGAGAATGCTCACCTTTCTTCTACTGACATTTTACTGATGGAGGAAAATTATTTAATCTCACATTATTTTTAGAAAGGAAAGAAAATGTAGCTTCCACAAAAGAATAGTAATTCTAAACGCATCTTAAGCATTCATGTTGTATTTAATCATTTTCGGCAATATACAGTATAAATGCTGGTGCATGCTATAGCAGAACAATTCTAGCTCAAGCTACATCTAATACTAGGCTGAGCTATGCCTAATGCTAGCCTGAGCTACTGCTAACGCTCACCCGAGCTACTGCTAATGCTAGCATGAGCTACTGCTAGCCCAAGATATTGCTAATGCCAGCCTGAGCTACTACTAATGTTAGCCAGATCATCTGCTAACATTAACCCAGTCTACTGCTAATGCTAGCCTGAGCTACTGCTAATGCTAACCAGAAAATCTGCTAATGCTAACCAAATCTAGTGCTAAAGATAGCCTGAGCAATTGGTAACATCCTTAAGTGGACAAGAGGAAAACAAAAAAATGTTGGTGCATTCAAATTCCGGAATACACCAGGAATATACAGACTTTGTTTGAATTCCAGATAGATCTATAACTTGCCTACTGAGTTATCCAGATACTGCACATGGCTGTAAACATTTTTGTAGTTTCAGGCAGCGTCACAGAGCCATTCAGGGTAAACCAGCCTATCAGCACACAGCTCATTTAATATTCATTTCTATTGTAGGGATTTATTATGGAATTTTATTTGAGCCCCAACAAAGTTCCATAAAAAAGCTGATTTAGGAACATTTTACAATCTACAGCAAACCACCTCAACAATGACAAGCTGAGTATTCTGACATCTCCCCCACAATCTATTGGACCATTCCCATCTGTACCGGGTCGGCCCGGGCCGGGTAGTCCCAGTCGGCCCCAGCCTGGCCCGGTTGATTCCACACATCCTTGCCTTTGCTGTCAGCAGTGGGTGTGTTGGCCCTGATCGGTCTGAAGCAGACGCCCTCTAGAAGAGGGCTGAGAATGAGCCTTGGTTGGCCCGGAAAAATACCAGGCCACCCAGATATGTAAACAACCTACGCTACCCGGCCCGGGCCGACCCGGTACAGATGGGAATGGCCCATATGACCCAAACCATTCATGGAAATAATGAGTAATCTGGATTAAAGATGGCCTAAAACCTCACAGAATTAGAAGCCTTCCAAAGAAAGTAATAAAAAAAATCATTTTCTCTTTATTTTTTCCTCTCATTACTAAAATTTGTGGTTAAACATTTGAATGCTGCAGTAGACGTGTTATAGGTCATGCACATTCCTACTGCTAGTTTTTTTTGGCCGTGATGGATGAACAATAAACATCTTCCTCAGACCTTCTCCAACTCACATTTTATTCATAGAAGATTTGTGTTTTCAATTTCTCTCTTCCTGTCTAAATAAAAGCTCTCCCAGCTGCACCACATTGAACTGCCAGATTTTTGCCATGACTGGAAGATCCAGCAATAAAAAAAAAAATTTGGTCACATGTCATTTAAGATCTAACGTTAAAGCTTTAAGGTTTTGTAAGGCAGCTATAATCAGCCTCCTGAGTAAACATGCTGAGTGAGTTGATTTAGTTTTTACACAAATGAAAAACAACAGGTGATTCAAAGAAGACAAACGATTTAGTGATGTGGCTGCCACATGTACACTAAAATATGACCTGATTTGCTTTTTGATTCAAACCTTTTCACCTTTAAAGGTCCTCCTTGTGTGCGCTTACGCAAAAAATACAATACAATACAATATAAAATAATTGTATTTTATATAATAATTTTGTTAATAAAACTGGATCATGTCACTGTGCCAATCCCTAGCTTGTGAATGGGAGTCCAACAGGGCCAGCTACTACACATCACTAGAGTTGCACTCACTCACACAATCCTTCCCCTCTACAACCCATTACTTAATTAGATCAAGCTTTTAATTGGCTGTTAAACCCAATTTGTTGAGGCTGCAGAGGTCAGATAAATGGTTGGTGACAGGATGAAATGTTGGCCTTTTTCAAAGCTGTAGCTAGGGAGGGTTACATGTCTAAATGTTATGGTTTTCATTCACTTACAAGCAATTTACTGTGATTTCTTGCAAATGTATTAATTAGTGCAAAGGCTTTATTTTGGAGAGATCCAGGTGATTTAGGTAAGGGGTTTACTGAGAACTAATGAAGCTGTTTGTGCGTTTGTCTTGCAGTCGTCTCTAAGGCCGGGCATTGGGGTGGCGAGTCCCAGTTCAGTGACCACTTCGGGGAAATCCACTACTCCGTTTTACCCCTTCAATGCAACCAATCCCAGAAGACGTCCTCTACAAGATCCCTCGCCAATCGGTCAGCAGCTTCCCTAATCACTAGAAGAAAAGAGCTCTAAAATGCCCCATATGGGGACAAAAAGTAGCTTAAACAATAATACTTTAAGTTAACAAAAGTAGGTCAGGTTTTAGTATACACAGTCTTAAATGCTCAATTTAAGACCCAAGCTTTTTTCTTTTTGTGTTGTTTCCTCTTCACACCATTTCTAGCCAACAGATGAGTAAACCATAAAATATTTATCAGTAGATGCTGCTTTTAGTGAAAATACATTTCGCACCACATTACCTACTCAAATCAAACATTCTTTTAGTTTTTTTAGATGTTTTTCAGCATTAAACACAGATTTTGTAAAGGTCCGTTTTTATACAGTTTGTTGCTATTTTTCAAGCATTGTACCTTGATCTGTTCATAAAAACTAGATTTTTATTTGTTGATTCTATTTGTTGATTCTTCTAGCACTCACTTGTGTTTATTACATTGCAATCCTTCTACACTCCTGAAAGGAACCAGAGAAACAAGTAACATAAAACCAAATTAGACATATTTTTTGTTTTTTTGGGTACTTTACTTGCATCCCACCACCACAGTTAAGTACTTATCAAAAATAAAAGTATCACCGGGATAAAATTATACTAATATACCTGATAACAAATTACGAACAGGCTGTCAAACACCCTTCATACATTAGATGATCAGCTGCAGTCTGATGCAGCATCAGGTAGTAAACTGTTCATCAGCTGCAGATCTATTTTTAGGGCTGACATTATTCCTGTCCTCCAGGTTTCTCATTTTCTTTAAAGACATGCTTCACACTATAAAATATGTTCCACATTTTGTCAAGTAGCTCTTTAGAAATCACCATGTTACTGTGCTTTTTTAAAATGTCAGAAATTCACTAAAAGCTTTTTATTAACTCGTTTTAAAAAATATAAAACAACAAATTCATTGGCAGCTTGATATTGGCTTTTTTTACCGCTATTGTCTGACTCATAATTTCCGATACCAATATATGTCCCCCTCTCATAAAAAAGGAATAACAGAAACATTTTAGGTTACTAACATCACATTTCTATCATGCATGCTGAAATTTTAAACATTTTCTGTGCAAAATGACAACTACTTAAATTTATATTAATAATCAGAAAAGTGCCATATTTAGCAGCTGAATCTTATTCTCACTAAGCGTGATGCTAAGATGTGTATGTTAGTAATTTTTCTTTTTCTGTATATTGCAGTTACAGTAATAAAACACTTCAAATCAAATCAAATCACTTTTATTGTCACGTCACATATGCAGGTACACTGGTACAGTACATGCGAGTGAAATTCTTGTGTGCGAGCTTCACAGCAACAGTTGTGCAAAAATACAATAACGTAAAAACAAGCAAAATATAAAAATGGCTAATCTAAGTAATAATATATATAGTATGTAAGGTATATACATTACTAAATGTGTGTGCTAACAATTTTATTTTTTATTTTTCTACGTGTGTGCATGTGAGTGTGTGTATAATGCGTATATACATATTTAACAAATAAAGTAAACAATAAAATAAGAGATGTAAAATGTACAGAGGTTGGTATGTGCAAAACAGTGGCATTAATGTACAGTATGGAGTGTGTAATGTTGGATTACTTATAAAGATTTTCAGATAAGAAAATAAAACCTTTTGTTTTAGTTGTTTGTTAGCTATCTAGCTACACATCGCTATGTGTTGTGAGGACAGTATATATTTATTACACAAGCTAATTTCTACTCACAAGTTGTGCCAAATAAAATAAATACAGTGGTCCCTTGTTTATAGCGGGGGTTACGTTCTAAAAATAACCCGTAAAACCTACTAAGTAGCCAGCTTTACTTTATTACAATTATTATAGATGTTTAGGGATGTAAAACCCCTCACTACACATTTTGTACACTTTTTTTCAGACAGACATTAACATTTTAACCCTTTTCTCTCTTGTTTAAACACTCAATGTGCTGTAAAAAAAAAGAAGCTAAATTCCGCTAAATATAAGAATTGCTTTCTGGTGTATTTGTTTTTCCCTTGACTCATTTACCAGTGAGTTAATGTTTTTCCTCACACATACACCACAAGGACACCAAATGCTGATTATATTACAGACATAGCAGCACCACAAAAACAATAAAACAACCAGATGCACCAGTTTGTGCGTTCGGTTTGGTTTGGGTCCAGCATTACAGTCCTCTCCTGCCCCTGCTCGCTGCTACCACTGTAACTTTTAAAACCAAGAGGAACCCTGAATGTTTACTCACCAAGCAAAGACTGTTCAGATGGTCACATGTAATGCCTTTCCTCCCAGCGGCAGACATTTTCTTGTTTTAAACATAAATTGTTCAACTATTACCAGCATATATGGTTACCACTAGCTTATCAGCAGCTGGCTCCAGACTCTTGATTGGTTCTTTTCTCGTCTAATCCCGCCTCTCCCAATTGCTTTTAAGAAGCCCATCTACTTCCGGACCATGGGTCCCTGGAAGAAAGAAAAATTAATGCAAGTCAAACGCCATTTTCAAATTCCGCTTGTTATGTGCCATGGATTTCACATATGATGTCTGTGAATTTTAAAGACACATTTTGATACCAAGAACGCGCTTATTTTTTAACGGAGGTAAACGCCATTTTAGGTTTTGTGTGAAAATAAGTCTAGGACTACAAATGCATTTCACAAAAGTGAAGTCATCGAGCCAGACACTGAGAAAAACAGAGGGAGAATGGCTGTAAGGTCAGCGAACTTGAAATCCTTCCTTCAGGAGGAAAGAACCACCATAAATCTGGCCATGTGGTAAGTAGCAGCTACTCTAGGGGAGAGGAGATTATGTGATGACGTCATATACGCGACGTACCAACATCTGGTGTGTAGTCATGCTATTTACAAACTTTTCCAAGCTGATAAATCTCAAAGTATGTGACTGGCGTGGTCTAAACACCCATCATTAGTTTTCATTTAAATATAAATACAACATATGTGTGATCCAGGGCTTAAGGCAAAGAAAACAGCTCTTTTAACCCCACTGACTTGCATTCATTTTTTCGTTCTTCCAGGGACCCATGAGCCAACTGGAAAGGGAGACTTACCCCAAAATTCCATCTCCGCTTCGCTCCGCCCCCACTTTCTGCTGCCGCTCGCTTCCAAACTCAAATTATATTATACCCGCTCTACAACGGCTCCGCTCCGGTGCGGAGACCAGAGTTGCGCAAACAGGCATGCGCAGGAAATTCGAGATCTTGCGATACAGTCCGAGCAATAAACGCAGAAGTTAGATCCAAACACCTGTGGTGTGGGAGAAGCATCGAAATGAACTGTTTAATCTGCCCATCATTTATGTTGAGAGATCAGCAGTGTTTGGATCAACAAAGTGTGACTACTTTGATAGTGGAAACTGTATTTATGGCTTATTTTTGTGCATTTAAAGTTCAACCGCCATTGATAGTTGTTAAAAGTTGTTAAACCTGTGCATATGAAACAAAAAACGCTTTTTGTTTATTGATTTATTGTGAAATAACGGAAGTTATGCTTGCTCCCTTTCCTGTTGGGCGGTTGTGATTTCTGTCCATTGACTGCGGAGGTGCTCCTTATTTTTGCCGGATGGCGGAACGGCGGGCGGCGCACTGCGCCGCACGGCCACAGTAGTGGAACAGCTCTGATTGACTACAACGGGACCGTTTTTGCTGCGGAGTTCGTGCCGGAGCGGAGCGGAGATAGTGGAATTTTGGGGTTAGGCTCCCTATTTGTATTTTTTTTCTTCACCAATTTTTTCCATTTTCTGATTGGATTTTTGTTAATGTCAATTTTCGTCATCACCTTTTATTTATTGACAGAAAAAAATCCACTAAGCCACAAAGGGTGACCCGCGTTACAGTGAGGGACTACTGTATCTCAAAAACTAGACCTCATATCTGTCATATTTTGAGCTTTAGAAAGAGAAGAGAAGTAGCTGAAATGTTTGATTTTTACGGTGTGTAAAGGTTGTCATTAAACGATTGAAAACCGATACCAATGTTTTCCGATATTAAATTTAAATGCTGATATCGGCCAATGTTAATGGTAGAGCGATAATATCCGACATCCCTACTTGACAGCTAAATATAAAGAAGTGAAGATTAACGTGGTACTCTCGGACCCTTCTGACAGTCAGGCCTGTCAGTGAGAATCGTTATACCAGACAGATGTTTCCATTTTGTGTTTCTCATCTAAAACACAAGTTTTTCTTCATGACTCTTGTTTTGCTTACAGTCGCTTTTTTATTGTGTTTGAATGACTAGATGTACTTTCATCTCTTCACAGATTCACTACAAACAAAAAAGGTTCGCAAGGTCCCCCCCGGTCTGCCTTCATCTGTGAGTGGAAGATCATCTACCTTTCACATAAATAGATCTCACCGTGAGCTTACCCAAACAAACAAACACACACACATTTCTTACTTCTCTTCCTTTTCCGCATGTGCACACAGAGAGCGGTCTTGACAGTCGTGCAGCACTTCTTGGATGGAGTATTTGTTTTTCATGTTCAGCCATGACACCGCTGGGTTCTATTGGGTTACTAAGTTGTCATGTTTGTCTTTTGCATTCATGTAGTTTGTTGTTAGCAGGTAAACGTCTCAGTGGGGCACGTCTTTCTGTGTCTTGGTTTTTCTGCTCTATGTGAGTGTACACGCGGGATTCTGTGTGTGCGCGTGCGTGCGTGCGTATGTGTGTGTGTGTGTGACTGAGTGTATGTGGACCTTGGGGTGATTGATTTTCCGTGCTGCCCTGTCACAGGCTAGCCTCCTCACAGCCTCTCCTGGGAAAAGGAGAGGCTGTCAGAGCGGATCCCCAGCTTTGCTCTTTTGATGTTTAATTAGTCATTACGTGGCTGAACTGGAGGACAGACAGAGATTAATAGCACAGAATATCTGAAATTTCTATTGGTAATGATCCCGGTGGAGCAGAAACCATTAGGATGCAGGGAAGTGTGGAGCTCAGCTTGTATTCGCGTGGACAGGGGGCGTCGGAGTTCATTAATATGCATAAATCAGGAAGTCAGACGTTCTTTGTTAAAACCCTGGTGGATTGGTAAAGGTTTTATTAAACCTTGCGTTTAATTCCTAGAACTGGTAGAAGACAATGATTCCCCCCTCTATTTTTAATAGGAAGCAACTGGTTCACCAAAATCCACCTTTTTTTTCTTTCCTTGAACAATGACAGCTTTTCTCCTCTTTTTTTGGGCGAGGGAGTGAGAGACTGGATTTGCCTTTCAGAGCTTTGATAATTGTCACTTCTGCTGCTGTTACTTTGAAATTAAATATGGAACAGGGCACGGGACATAAAAGGGTGGCGTGTGTTTTGTTTCTGGATTTGTATTTGAAAAGAAGTTTGTTGGAGCATGAGGGAGAGACGCGGGCCCCGGCTGAGGCAGGAACGTGAGCTGCCTCCTTCTTAACTAAGTGATATATTTGAGGTCTTGTCAGACGGAGGGAGGGAGGTAAAGAATGGTTGCCTCACGGGTTACATCTCTTTGTTGTGTAAATGGACGCCGGGCTTTTATTTGTCAGTACTTAACACAGGGGCGCAGGTGCGGTTCTGTGACTCATAAGAGTACAATCAAGCAGCACAATGCTAGACGGGGGGAAGAACAGTGACGGAGCATAGGATAAAATACAGCTTCTTCTTGTCACTCTGCACTGCTCAGATGATAAAGCCTGGAGCTTCAGGGAATTATCCCTGGTTAGTCTTTGATCCTGTTTGAAAGAATAGAAATTGCGCTGTTGAATTACCAGCTATAGGTGCCTTATAACCTGCTGCCAGAAAAGGAAAAGACCTAAATCTGTTTTTGATTAGTGGCAAAATGTTTAGGCAGGAGGCTTTCTGGCAGATTTGGGATTATGCCCATAGGAGGCAAAGGTGCAGCATTAGAGCGCAAACTGTGCATCGAGGGGTCGTTATCAGACATAATCTGTGTTTGTATTGCCAGCAGCAGTATAAGGAAGAGCGAAGGTGATGCTGACGAAGTGTCAAGGGGAAGGCGCACCTGGAGTCTGATCTGCTGTGCCAGAGGCAGCTGTGTGTAGAGCCTGCAGCGTACCTGTGAAGCATGAATGCAGCTGCAGATGCCATTGAAAGCTTTTGCTTGTGTAAGCAAACTCCAGGGCCCCACCAGAGACCTGAATAGCTGTATGATTAAAAAAATAAATAAAAAAGATCAACGCAGGGCTTCCTATCATTGTGTCTACCACTGGGAATATTCTGATTTATTTATTTATTTCGTTCCCCCCCCCCCCCCCCCCCCCCCCAGCCCCAGCTTGTAGTCTTGCTTCCCAGTCTAAAAATAAACGTAGTTTAGAATCAGATGTGCAATGCAAGTTGCAAGACCAAGCATGATGTGTGTGTGTGTGTGTGTGTGTGTGTGTACACCACATGATGGAGTTGAATCAAAATATTTACGGGAGCACATCCTCTGTGCGTTTAGGTTTTTGACACAGCAGTGCACCAGGATGTGAAGACTATCTAGACAGGCCAGCTGGTGATTGCAAACATTTAAATGTTTATAGGTTGTTTTTTTTCCATCTTATACACAGACACCCCCTCCCTAAGCCACACACAGACTTTCCTCTGTGGTTTGACGGTGGTGTGTCTGCAAACTTTGACTTTTCCAGTGGTTTTAATTGTGCAACATTTTTACTTATCTTAAATATTTAGGCTCCTATACATCATTATATGATATGATTTGTTTGAAAAAACTGAAGACCGAGTTAGGGACAGCTTGTTGTCATTGACCAGACAGGCTGCTTTGCTGAAGGATGCTGATGGGCAGCTGCGTGGGCACCTGTCTGACAGGAGGACTGAATATGGAGAGAGGGGGTTTTGTAGCTTGTGGAGGGGGCGACTTGCATCTTGTAGGATATTTATGGGAATCTACAAGGGCATGCTCTGTATGTGTGTGTCTGTATGTCAGTTTGTTTGTGTTAATAGTGTTTTTTTACCCCCCTTGTCAGAGGCGCAGAGGCTCGATGTGACACTTCCTCCCCGGCTTCGGTGACGATATAGCTGCAGGATAAGAAGAAAGAAAGTGGTGGGCTGAGATTCGTTTGCCCTCGGGGGGCTTTTGCAAGCAAGAACCCTGAGTGTGGATGACAAAAAAGATTGACATTTGCTTTTGACAGATCACTCAGACACCCTTGTTTCTGAGAGATCTGCACTGCGCGAGCTTTAAGGAAGGAAGTCTGCTCAAGGCTCTGAATCTTAAGACCTAGAAATGTTTCTCGCAGTGCTGTCTGCTGCTTGATATTCAAACAGACTGTCTGTCTTTTCTATCAATCTGTGTTTAGCAGCTCACAAACAAGATAATAACACTGTTGCCGCAGCCATAATCTAATGTTCCTGTTTTTCAATGAGCAGGTCTTTTTTGTTTCTTCGTTTGAAGCCTAGTGCGGTCGGACAGTAACAGGAGGGCTTGGCGAGGGGATCTTAGATGTAGTTCACCAGTAAAGCTCTATGTAAATATCCAGAAACACCCGGGGCCCTTTTAAGTCTGAAGCTAAATTAGATTCCCAGCAGAATAAAGCAGCATTTTCTTCCTTTGGTCTGATGCAAACACTCTTGTGGCACTGGGAAAGGTAAACACTATAAATAAGAGACACGCACACACATGCAAACACACAAGTACATTTTCCATTACACGCTACCATATCTTGTTGTTATTTATTGGTTTTATTGATCAGTGGTTCGATGCTGCAAACTGGATGTTATTTGAAAACCAGTGGGTAATAATAACGGTTATCGTTATTCACACAAGCATATTTGTTTTAACACAGATGTTTTTAAGCATTTAAAGGTGTGGAACACTGATAAACCATTTTTAAAATCTTATTTCTGATTATAAATGGTCATTCTGAGTTTTTCATGCAAGCTGAACATGAAAACAGTCTCCGACACCTATCTTCTGCCTTGGCTTCTGATAGAAAATAGATGGTGAAAATCTAGGATTTGAAACACCTGACAGATCTACATCACACTGTCACTCAATGTTCATGGACTCACCCATCTTGACTCACGACAGGGAAGGCTGTTGTTTATTTAGCGTCCAAAAAACAGCGGAGAACATCTCTACTAGTAGAAGCTAACTGTTAGCATTAGCTACTTCACCACACTGCAGAAACTCCCCCAGGCATGTGTTACTTGTGAAGATGAAACATCCACGTTGCAAGTCAGTGGTAGAGTCACCTTACTGTTCCAATCCCGGGCGAGATGTCCACATATCAGAAAATAAGACTCCAGATCCTGCTGTCTGAAGCTCAGCTGTGATGTGGCTCACTTCTAGTTCCTGGAAATGGTGCACCGGTGTTTTTTGCTCCCTGAGAATGACTTTCAAGGAATTCATTCCTACAAGAGACCACTGCTAATGTATTGATCAAACTAGTGTACCACACCTTTAAGGTGAAATCTACTGTTGGCTCTAGCAATATTTTCATAGTTATCTAAATTAAATTAAATTAAAATTTCAGATTTGTATGACTTAATCCACCATTGTAAACAATCTGTGGTGATTTTAGCAAAACAAACAACTGAAATGTAAGCAAAACTATTATAGTGCGATTGCTGGGTTTAGCATCTTTTTTATTAGGAGTGTGTGTGTTTTGTGTACTAACCATTGGTTTTATATGAAGTCTTGGCTGATAAATACATTTATTTTTGCAATATTAAATAAATTAGAGATGATGTATTTCCTGCTTGTTTCCTCCTTGTGTCACTGGCAGGGGGCAGTGTTTTAGGCTCATGGTTGCTGAGCTCCCCAGAGACGCCCTCATCAGATGGCTGATTAGATAGACACCCTTCATTTGACAGGGTGATGCTTAACAGTTGCAGCCACCTCAGGGACTCTGGGCTCTGCGTTTATCTTTGCTTGGGTTGTTGAAATTTACCACATGCATTAGATGCTTCGGATAATGGAACAGACAAACAAGCCAGAGACCTGACCTCTTTCATCTGCAAGGAAAACAAGGAGTTAAAGGGACTAAGAAAATGAAAATAATGCACACATTAAAGTCATTACACACATTCTGGCCTGTTGTAAATTATTCATGTAGGCCTTGCGTGAGTGTACGACATTAATGCAAACCCTGATTTTGTTTTTCTGGCAGACTCAGGAACACGGTCTGTCAACAATCACCAAGGTAGAGCGTTTGTTGTTCAGAGGCTGTCTGAGCTTTGCTGCAGCGTGCATGGACAGCTCATGCTGTACTGGACTACACACTCCGCTTTAGGTTAAATAATATTTGTGTGTGAGATTAATCAGTGTATTATTAGAAATAAACACGCTGAAATAAACGGAGTAGCATTGCTAGCATGTGGCTGCATAAGTG